TGTTTTTTTGTCGAGGTAGAGTTTACCAACACCATTTTTTTATTTATTTATAAAATGGATATGCAGATAAGCTATTCTAATATATCCATCCAGAAGTATTATCCTTTAGTACTCACAGCATATCTACAGGGAATCTCACTGCATTTATGTTGGGGCCTAAGATCATCTCCAACAGTGAACCAAACTTTGCATCAGATTTGAAATTAGGTGAAAAAGTCACTTTTTGGAGCTCCAATGATTTCACCAAATTGGTATCAAAATGAGAATGGAACAAAAAATCCATCAAAGTGAGAACAGGCACTAGATTTCACCATTTCACTGTGCGTTACCGTTGGGGTAGGCCAACTGGTCAACCAACCGGTTGTCCGACTGATTGACCCACCGGTCGACCGGTTTCCTTTCAAATAGTGGGTTCAAACCGGTCAAAAAAGGTTCAAACAGGTAAAAAAATAAAAAATAAAAAAAAATTTGCTCTTACTGATCGACCGGCCAATCGACCCTTCTCTTTTGATGCACGGTTGGAGCAAGCCATATCAAATTGGAAAAAATAGCTTTTTTTTACTCAAACTTGATGAAAATTTTGGTTAACCATTGGAGATGCTCTAACCTAAGGCCCCCACATGTTTCAAGTGCTAAAACATATTTTTGATCTCAATAAAAAAATTATGAAGACTCAAACATAAATTTTAAGCAAGAAATTTGAAAAACTTACCACTAAGGTTTCGTTTGGGAAGTGGGTTGGCTTTTTGACTTTTTTGACTATTTTAACCTGGGGCTAAAAAACCTAATTTGGAAAAGACTTTTGATTTTTTTAGTTTTTTTTTAATTTTTTATGAGAGAAAGAATGTAATGATTATAGGATTCGATGTGATATTTTATCTTATTAAAATAAAAAATTTATTTTATTTTTTATAATTATTTTAACCAAAAAAATTTCAAACCTCACTTCCCAAACGGAGCCTAAATGAACCGCTGTTGGTCCAACACCATTGTTGTCACATGGTTGGCTCCAAACACCAATTGGGTGCACATGTATGCATCTATATAACAATAAAAACTAGTAATAGCTATACATTCACAAGTGGGTTGTACATGAATAGGCAGTGGACCCATATTGATAATGATGAAAACTACTAGAAAAATAAATATATTTACATATATTTTTTAAATCTCCCCCAATGAATATCTTATGTATGTATGGTACTTGAGGAACATATGTTTGAAAGTTGTTTTTGTGAATAACAACAAATGATCAAAGGCAAAAGAACAATCATGAAGTTGACTGAGTTCCAGCGACAGCTAACAAAATCATCATCAACATATGGGACTCTTTGATGTCCCAATAGTGTAAGTCCTATTTTGACAATTAAGGGGAAAAAAAGTTAATTTTTTTAACTTTTTTTAAATATATAAAAAATAAAAAAATTTGTGTGATTTAAATAAATCAATAAGTCAATAAATTAATTTTTTTTTTTTAATCTAATTGTCAAAATAGACCTAACTTCACAATGTCATTTACCTTAATTTTATTCTTAACAAAACAGATTTGAAGTGGTCATTAATTAATCAACTATGAATTTGTTTGACATGTTTTTTGAGATTAAAATAGTCATATAAGATAAAATATGTTATTTTAGTCAAATAATACAAAATATTACATCTAACTTATAATCATTTTATTTTTTCTCTTATAAAAATTAAAAAAAATTTAAAAACTATCCCAAAAAAAAAAATTTAGCCTTAAGATAAAATAACGAAAAAGTCAAAATATCAAAAAATTAATCCACACCCTAAACGAGCTCTATATTTGTTATCAACGATCTACGAGTATACATTGCAAAACTTGGCCAAGGTTCAGATTCCAGCCCCTCGTTTGGGATAATTTATAAAAGTTAAAAAATAAAAAAAATTACTAATCCTGGAGGGCAAAATTGTATGAGAGAAGTTTGTGGGGGAGAAATTTAGAGGATAAAATTATTAGGAAAAATTACATATAAAAATTGTATGAGAGAAGTTTGTGGGGAGAAATTTAGAGGATAAAATTATTAGGAAAAATTACATATATCCTTCTCGAGGTTTGGCTAAATTACAGATACTCTCTGAAGTTTGAGAAATTACAAATTTTCTCCTGAATGTTATATTTGCATAACAAATTAGGGGGTAATTTTTTATGAAATATAAACCTCAGGGGACAAATTATTATAAAAATACAAACCTCAGGGGCGGGATGTAATTTTCGAAACCTCAGGGCGATATTTGTAATTTAGCTAAACCTCAAGGGAGGTATTTGTAATTTGTCCCAATTATTATTTGGTCCTTTAAATTCAATTATTCAAAAAATAAAAACTCAATAAGGATAGAGTGGTCATTTTGATTTTATTACAATATTTTATTACACGTCTTTTCATAAAAAATTAAAAAGTTATCCAAAACATTTGGGGTATGTTTGGTTTGTGTTTGAGAGATGTGTTTTAAAGATAAAAAGTACGAAAACATGTTTGGTTTGGTTTTTTTTAAAAGATGTTTTGGAAAATTATTTTGAGATAGAGTTTTGAAAAAAGTGATTGATTTGATGTGTGTGAGAGAGAGATTTGTTTGGAAAACTTGTTTGGTTTACAAGTTTTGGGAAATTTTTTTGGGAAAATTTGTTTGGTTTGGTTATTTTTGAAAACTTATTTGTAGAGAAAATTTCCCAAATTTTTTTCAGAAAATCAAACCAAACGAGCCCTTGATTTTTTTTTTCTACTTTTTTGGTCATAAAGTGTACTTATGGGGTGTTTTGGAAAGTTGGTAAAAAACTGACTTTTGACTTTTGACTAAGCTTTTTAGCCTTTTGGAAAGTGATTTGGGAAGTTGGTAAAAAGCTGACTTTTTGCTCTTTAGTTTAATATTTATTTATAGTGTCAAATCAAATTAAAATTATCAAAATATCCTTACCCAGCATAAGAATTTTTTTTTTAATTTTTTTTTAATTTTTTTTTCATAGGTCTTAATTTGTAATTTTACACCTGCGTTTTTAGCACTTGCCAAACCAATTTTCTGGCCTTTTTGGCACTTGCATTTTTGGACATTTTGTTCTTGGACATTTTGTCAAAAAACGTGGCTTTTGCTATGTTCCCAAAATGGCACTATGTAGCACATTCCAAACAACCTATAACATAATTTAGGATTTATTTAAGCTTCGTTTGGCATTGACTAATATAGTCAATTTTTTGTATTGAGACTTTTTTAGCCTGCCTTTTTTATTCTTGTTTGATTTAGATTTTTTAATTTTTTGACTTTTGTAAAGGAAAAAATATAATGATTATGGGTTGAATGTGATATTTTATCATATTAATTTATTTAGCCTATTTTTCATTTGGTACTTTTTTAAACCCTAAAATGATAGCTAAACCAGAGATTAAAAACTCAATGTTAAATTTTGAATTATTTTATCATAGAAAATAATAAGGTTAAAAAAGGGTATGGGTATGGGTATGGGTATGGGTATGGGTTGGGTTTGTTTGGGATAAACTAAATACGTACACTTTTTGATTTTTTATGAAATATGAGTTGTGTTTGAAGTGATGTGGTAAAGAGATGATGTGACTTAAATAGGATAGTGACTTTTTAACTTTTTTTGATTATGCTTAAACCAATATAAGTAGATATGTACGTTTTTGAATAATCATATGGAAAAAAAATATATTTCGAAAATAGGAGAAGGATTCACTTCAGGTTCAATTTTAGACTATAGGGCACTGTTTAGGTTTGAGAAGTCTACCACAGATCATATTTCGATAATCTGAAATATTTATTTTGTCAGGTACTTTGTGTATTTTGTTTGTAAAAAAATTAAATTAATTCGATAATTGTAACTTGTTCATTTTTTTACTAAAAAATAGGCAACAATTGTATTTTAAAAAATAAATCAAATATTTTTTAGTGACAAACACAATAAATTGAACAAGTTATAATTGTCGATTTTTTTTGTTTGATGAAATATACGAAATATTCAACAAAATAAATGATTCAAATCATTAAAATAAAACCCGTGATGAATTTCACAGGCCCAAACAATAGAATCCTCCTCCTTTAAAATATTTCTAACATTTTTATATTTTTCACACAAAATCTAAATTTAAGAGAAATCAAATCTATTAAATAATATTCAAAGCAATAATAAGATGGGAGGAAAAATAGTTTCACGCGAATGACATAGGTTTTGTTTGGGTTGGATTCACTTTTTATTTTTTTGACTATTTTAATTTAAGATTAAAAAACACTACAACAAAAAACACATTTGGCGACCCACAAATTTCGTCGCCAAAAGAATTGGCGACAAAGTATACAATTGGTTGCCAAAGTCCTGTCACTAAAAGTATTGGCGACGAAATCAGAAAAAGTCACCGTATGTAGACATTTAGCGACAAGCAAAATTGGTCGCCAAAAATCATATATTTTGTCGCTATAAAATTACAATTTGTTGCTAAAAGGTTAAAATTTGGATAGGCTATGTAGTTTTAGCGACAAATAAATGCGTCGCCAAAAGTATTATTTAACGACAAAATTAATTTGGTCGCTAAAAATCACGTTTTTAGCGACAAGTAAGTTTTGGTTGCTAAAATTCCTAGAATAACCACTAACTTTTAGCGACGAAAACACCACCTGTTACTAAAAATTCACTACACAAATTTTGATTTTAATAATTTTCCTGTTCAAAATAATCCAAGACACCTGCTTTCCTGTGCACAATATATACATAAATGTAATGTAAATAATAATACACCTGTGCAAGACATTCACACTAATTCAAAATTAAAAGCTATGAAAAATCCTAATAAACATAATTACAATTCTCTGACAATCTAAAACATGCATACCAAGGTACTTACAAACTACTAACATCAAACCCATAAATACATTACCAAATCCTATGTCAAAATATTTTCAAAAACACAAAACTAAATATTTTGATGCTAAATCATTTACCAAAATCCTATGTCAAAATATTTCCAAAAACACAAAATCAAATCTTTTGATGCAACCCGAACTGTTTTCCACCATTGCCAATCTGTCACATGAAAAAAGAAAAAACAATATTAGATTGACAAAAAAAAAAAAATTGATATGAATTTCATAATTTTGATTTTAATTTTATTACGGGAAGTCCAATTGAGTGCTGTTTGCTCATACAAGTCTATTTAGGCTTGAACAAGTTGCCCGTGCCAAGTTTCGGTGGTTTCAATGGTCATTTTTCAATTTCGGCCTCCGAACGAGCCTTTTAAGTCTTGTGTTTTACATTTTTTCTTGTAATTTTCTAACCGAAAATCTAATCGAGGTTCCATTTGTTTCTACAAGTCTATTTAAGTTTGAACAAGCTGTCCGTGCCAAGTTTTGATGGTTTCGGTGGTCATTTTACAATTTCAGCCCCCGAATGGGCCTTTTAAGTCTTGTGTTTTACAATTTTCCTTCTAATTTTCTAACAGGAGATCCAATAGAGGTCCCGTTTGTTCCTACAAGTCTATTTAGGCTTGAAAAGGTTTTCCGTGCCAAGTTTCAGTGGTTTCGGTGGTCATTTCGATATTTCGGCCCCCGAACGGATATTTTAAGCCTTGTGTTTTACATTTTTTCTAGTAATTTTCTAACCAGAAATCCAATCGAGGTTCCGTTTGTTCCTACAAGTCTATTTAGGCTTGAACAAGTTGTCCGTGTCAAGTTTCGGTGGTCATTTCACAATTTCAGCCTCCAAACGGGCCTTTTAAGTCTTGTGTTTTACAATTTTCCTTCTAATTTTCTAACCGGGGATCCAATCGAGGTCCCGTTTGCTCCTACAAGTCTATTTAGGCTTGAACAAGCTATCCGTGCCAAGTTTCGGTAGTCATTTCGCAATTTCGGCCCCCAAACGGGCATTTTAAGTCTTGTGTTTTACAATTTTCCTTATAATTTTCTAACCGGGGATCCAATCGAGGTTCCGTTTGTTTCTACGAGTCTATTTAAGTTTGAACAAGTTGTCTGTGCCAAGTTTTGGTGGTTTCGGTGGTTTCGATGGTCATTTCGCAATTTCAGCCCCCGAACGGCCCTTTTAAGTCTTGTGTTTTACAATTTTCCTTCTAATTTTCGAACAGGAGATCCAATAGAGGTCCCGTTTGTTCCTACAAGTCTATTTAGGCTTGAAAAGGTTGTTCGTGCCAAGTTTCGGTGGTTTCGGTGGTCATTTCGAAATTTCGGCCCCCGAACGGGTATTTTAAGTCTTGTGTTTTACATTTTTTTTACTAATTTTCTAATCGGAAATCCAATCGAGGTTCCGTTTGTTCCTACAAGTCTATTTAGGTTTGATCAAGCTGTCCATGCCAAGTTTCAGTGGTTTCGGTGGTCATTTCACAATTTCGGCCCCCGAACAGGAATTTTAAGTCTTGTGTTTTACAATTTTCTTTCTAATGTTCTAACCGGGGATCCAATCGAGGTCCCGTTTGTTCCTACAAGTCTATTTAGGCTTGAACAAGCTGTCCGTGCCAAGTTTCAGTGGTTTCGGTGATCATTTCGTAATTTCGACCCCCGAATGGGGTCCACAATCCCACATAAACTTGGGGGACACTATCCTCTCTTTTCCTTCCTTATTTCCCAATTTTCTTTGCCATTTCTTCTTTTATTTCCTCACTCATTTTTGAGTCATCACCACCCCCAATACACATACCCTTCCCTGAAGTCCTTTTTTTTTCTATTTTATTGTACACTTTGTTGCATCTCACAATATTACTCAGCTATCAGTTTTGCATGCAAATAACATTATGTTTATCCAACACCATTATATAATGCTATCTAGTGAGAGAGCAGTGATTATAACTATGTTAGATAAGAGGACTACATGATGATAAACAACCACAAAAATCCACCAAAGCAGTTGCAATCTTCAAAATGAGCAAAAGTACCTTGCATATTACTGCAATGTTAATGGCATCCGAAGGTCGAAGATCAAAGCTAACATTCTCCGTTTCATTACCCAACTGAGATTTAAAAAAAAAAAAAAACTTTATCAGTTAAATATTACTATTAAAGCAAGTTTTATGGAAAATATTAGTCAAACAAAATACAAGCTTGTAACAGGAATATGCCTTTGTGAGGTATAACTGAGCAAAATATGCTTCATGTACCCTCTTGGTGACTCGAACAACCTTCACCTGCATAAGAAACAAAGAGTTATATCAAATGAAGGTCTTACAAAAGAGAAATCAAGGTATAAAAAGATAGAGGCATTGCTAATCATGAGAAGTAATAAAAGCAAATCCAAACTTACTGCATAGCCCATCTTGTCAACCATCTGCTTTACAACTTGATACATAGTGGGCCTAGCCTGAAAAGTCATTGACAATTGGTATGTTTTAAGTTAACACAATAATTTAGATGGGAAAAAAAAGTTTCCAAAATGAAATACGACAACTTGTTAGTCAGAGCTCGTATATCTCATTAAAATATCAAGATTTTAAAATATCTCATTAAAATACCGTCAAACACATTTAACTTCTTGTATAGAGGGTGTACTTGGGGAGAAGGGACACTGAGCAGAGATTACAAACCACTGCAATCAGTATGCTGCGGTGGACCTGCTTGTAGTTGATATTTTCTGCAATATCTCACTTTTAATTCACATTCCAGTAATGTAGCACATACCCTTCACTATACAAAATGCCTTTTCTTCTGGTTCTTGTGTTCAAACATGGGAATGGGTAGGATTTAGACAAATAGAAAGGTTTCAGTGACTGCAATGGTGCAACTAACGAATGTATTTTGGACTCTTTTTAACTCTAAAATTAGACATTAACCATATAGAGGGAAACATAAAACTTAAACCTTCATCTCCGCAATACAGAGTAAACTCATTCCCCATGTAGTGTACACAACCAAAGACCAACAAGAAAATAATAAAACAAAAATAACATGTGATTTTTGGCAACGCAAAATATACATATTAGCCAGAATGAGATATACAAAACTTTTGTGACTAATAAACACACACAAATTTCATCAACAAAATTGTTAGTTATATTCTAACACAAGCACAAATCACTAGTCCCACATAAATCAACTTATAAGAATCTTCTTCTAACAAGAAAACTATTATTTATATATATGTGTACGTACCTTATCGGGATGAAGATAGACTTTGTCTCTGAAGAGAAGAACAACACTGGCCTCATCAAGAACACGGGTGAAAGGGCGGCAAATGCCTCCATGCTGCTTCCCACATTCCCTACAAATAGGTTTACCTACACTTCCACTATTTCCCCTTGTTGTATTATCATTAAGGCTTGAGTTCAAATTTTCATTCACGGAGGCCACTGATTCACTAGCCGCTTCCATCTTCTGTTTCTTGAATTTCTTACTTTCTGGTTCAGGTGTAGTTACAGACTTGGACATGTTCAAGATAGCAATATTTGTTTCAGCCATCAAGGCTCTGTCAAGTACATCAACATATTTTTCTAATTTCAAAACATTCACCCTGTCAAGTACCTCAACATGCAATCCACCCTCAAATTTCCTTGCCTTCTTGTAATCTGTATCAACCATATGAGGAGCATAACGGGCTAGTTCGGTAAATTTCGCTTCATACTCCGCTACTGACATGGTTCCTTGCTTCAGCTGTTCAAATTCGGATACTTTTCTATCTCGCATGCATTGTGGAAAGTATTTTTCATAAAACATCCCTTTGAATCGATCCCATGTCAAGTCCCTGTGCTCACCTCGAACGAGCATCCACCATCGTCGAGCTTCTTCTGTCAGAGTAAATGTTGCTAACAACACTTTATAGACATCTGTACACGGAAACACTTCAAAAATCTTTTCAGTTTCTAACACCCATGCCTCCGCTTTTAATGGTTCAATACCTCCTGCAAATTCTGGCGGTTTCAATTTCTTGTATTTCTGTGTCAGAGTGATGATGTCATCATTATTAATTGGTTCCATTTGAACAGGTGGTGGTGGAGGTGGTGGAAAAGGTTGTCTTTGTTGTGGTTGTTGGTTTTGTTCTAGCTGTTGTCTAACCAATCCAGTCAGAGCTTCAACCATTCTTTCCAACCGAGTCATTCTAGCATCAGAAGGTCCTGTCTCATCTGCATTTCTTGCATTGGCGTCTTCCATTGGTCTATAGAACCCATAGAGAATACAACATCTCATTTTCACATAACAGTTCTTCTGTTGCCTCGTCATACAATTCTCGTTTCTTTCTCTTGCAACACACACACACATGCACACATGTATGCCATGCTCTATTTCTTTTCTAGGACACCCTACAGCTCTGATGGACACGTGTGTGGGTACTCTTTTGTTTTTGAGTCAAAGAGTCAATAAAGGCCCTTATACTTATCTATATATCATTTATAAACAATTGTACCAAACTTTGAGCCAAACATGGTGTCACGACCCAAACCTGCCCCGAGGAGGTTGGCATCGTAACCGGCCAGTAATTCTGGATTACCACAGGCCTTTCTGTACAAAACATATATAAGCGGGGCTTGCGAAAGCGAAAACAAAACACTAATAGTCCAAAGAGCTGTGCATTTATATGAACATACATTACATGCCAAAAATGTGGTTAATTTACCCACTAACTGTACATCACATGCAATAAAAGATCATATACAACACATAGGCGAAAGCCACAGATACAACAAGACAAAGCTCACAAAACGGCCTTCCAGGCCTGGCCCCGGCTCGGAGCACACAAAACACTTGAAAGGCTTCAAATCAGCGGCTCGGCTCGAGAACCCGCCTAGGATTGACTTCCAGAATGCTCACCTATAATACATAATTACAAACAATGAGCTAGAGCTCAGCAAGTAACATAACAGTAAAGAGGTTAGTGAACGAAGTCCGACATTTTCATAAATCCACAATAAATCAATCATGAACATATATCAGTCATCAGTCATCATAAGAACATACGTAATGGCATACTCCACAGAACCTTTCATAACAGTCTATCAGTCAACAGTCTACGAGATCTCGTAACTAGTCATGGGTTTGTCCTTCCATGCCGTTCCCCATGACTCATGACGCATGGGCCTGCATGTTCCCGCCCCCATGTCCCAACTATCTATGGATGCCATACTAGATTCGCAAACTGGGCATTCGTTCACAGAAAACATTCTCATTTCAAAGCATAGCATAACGTAATACATTTAAAACATAGTTCATAATAACATATCTTTACAGAAATGTTACTCACAGTGGGTTTCCAAAACCGAATGCACGGTCTTCAATTCTTGACCTGCAAATATCAACATGTCATACATTTCTCAATACACATTATCATTAAATCCTGTAATTCATGCACTTCATTCTTTCCTTTACTTCATTTCATGTTCATTCTAATCTTTCTTTACTTTGATTCATACTCATTTCATGTTCATAAGATGATAAATGATGCAACTAACATGTTAAAATCAAGTCTGCAACTTCCCCAGAATTTTCCTGAAAAAGGCCTTCCCGCTCGAGCGCCACTTTGGCCGCTCGAGCGTACTGTAAAAAAGTCCCAAACTGCTGGGAGGCTGTTTTTCACGCTCGAGCGGGAATCCCTCCGCTCGAGCGGACCACGCGAAAAATCTGAAATTCTGGTTCTTCTTCCAAGCTTCATTCTCCTCTTTACAAAATCACTTTCCACATTTATGAAATCCAAGACCCAAAACACTTAAAACCCATCTTAAATCAACATCAAAACCCATATGGAACAATAGAAGATCAAATCTTGGAGTAAAATAGAAAATCATAAACTTGAGCATAAAAGCTTCATTTCTTCATATCCATGGAGGTTCTTCTTCAAAAATGCCAAATATAACCATAAATCATCTATTCATGCCATGCATGCTCAAATTAAACATATTTCCCCTTTCAATCCTCTTATTTAACATGAGATCATTGATGCATCAACCTTACTTCAAGAATTTAGAGGGAAATTCTTACCTTAATCACTTAATTGTAGAAGATTTAGCTTGATTCTCTTTTTTCCTCCTCTTCTTTCCCTTTCTCACGAACTCTCTCTCTCTCTCCTTTCCAGATTTTTCTTCTCTTTTGTTTTGAGTCAAAACATGGTCAACATCTTCATCTATATATATATACCATAAAAATAGAATTGTGCCATAATCTTGAGCCAAACAAGACTTAACGAATCAGACGAAATTCAGTCCTCCATTTATTTTCCCAAATGGTTCTAAAAATTCCCGGTATCACATAGGCGTGCTCAATTTCATTTTCTGAACCCATTATGGTCATCAATTTCGGTCCCAAAGTTCTCATCTCAACAGATATTTTTCTAAGTTCAACAGATAATCTTCAATTAAATCATACTAACACATAATTAATTACTGGTAATCATGGTATACGGTTCTGGGTCGTTACACATGGCCTAACGAAGCAGACGAAATTCAGTTCTCAATTTATTTTCCCAAATGGCTCTAAAAATTCCCGGTATCACATAGGCGTGCTCAATTTCGTTTTCTGAACCCATTACGGTCATCAATTTCAGTCCCGAAGTCGTAATCTCAACAGGCATTTTCTAAGTTCAACAGATAATCTTCAATTAAATCATACTAACACATAATTAATCACTGGTAATCATCGTATACGGTTCTGGGTCGTTACAGGTACCGTTGATTGTCACCGCTGCCGAATCAGTTTTGCTATACCGTCGAAGTGTGCACAGAGAGAGAGATTGAAACCCTACCCTTCCCTTCTATTCCCTTTTGAATTCTCTATCTTCTCCCTCTCTTCTCGTTTTCCTCTGAATACAATGAGATGAGGCTTGGGTGTGTTTATTCAGTAAAAAGGTCGGTCCAGTCTTAAAAAAAAAAAAAATTTGAAAAATGCAAAACAACGTAGTTTCGTTTGCTAATTTATTTGCGACAAAAATCATTCTGTCGTCATAGGTACCGTTCATCTTTTCCGCGACTATTTCATTTCTGTCGCCAAAACTTTACAATCGGCGACCAAAATTTCGTCGCTAAATGTTAATTTGGTTGCGAAAATATTTTTGGCACTCCTGCCCAAAAAATTAAGTTGGCGCCAAACCTTTTGGCGACTAAAAATATTAACTCGTCACCAATAGTGTAATTTTTGGTGACAAACAATTATATTGTCGCCAATTATGTAAAATTGGCGACTAATTTAAGTTTGGTTGCTAAAAAACGTCACCAAAAATGTTTTTTGTTGTAGTGAAATCTCGTTTGGATATTTTTTTTAATTTTTATGAGAAAAAAATAAAATAATTATAATTTAGATATGATGTTTTATTTTATTAAATTAAAAATTTTATTTCATCTTTTTTATAATTAAAATAATCAAAAAAATCTCACATACCAAACGAATGCATTTGTTTTTTGTTTGGCATTTGTTTTTCTTCACAAAATTACGACAAAGTTAGGTGGTACCATACCAACTAATATAGACG